GAGCGCTGCGGGGCGGGTACCTGAGGGCAGGGAGAGGGGAGCGCTGCGGGGCAGATTGCAGGGAGGCTCTGTGGGGAGAGCGGGAGCGCTGCGGGACAGGTTGCAGGGGGAAGGGGGGGCTGTAGGGGTGGAGAGAAGAGCGCTGCGGGGCGGGTACCTGAGGGCAGGGAGAGGGGAGCGCTGCGGGACAGATTGCAGGGAGAAGGGAGGCTCTAGGGGTGGAGAGAAGAGCGCTGCGGGGCGGGTGCCCGAGGGCAGGGACAGGCTCTGTGGGGAAAGGAGAGCGCTGCGGGGCGGGTGCCCGAGGGCAGGGGCGGGCAGGTTGTGGAAGGGCGGGGCCGGTTCCTCGGGCCGGCCTGGCGTGTTGGGCCCCGCGGTGTCCATGGTGACTGCAGCCGCCGGCCAGCGCTGGGTCTCGAGGTACGGGGCCAGCCGGCATGTACGACCGGGCTCCGCGGGCGCTCACTCGGCCCGCGGGCGGCACCGAGGCTCATGTGGGGCCCGGCTCCTACCAGCTGCAGCCCGGGAAACAGCAGAAAGCAGGTAACGGGGGGAGCGCCCAGATTCACCCCCGGGCTCCTCCTGCGCCCCTGGCCGCCCCGCGTCCTCCGAGCCACTCAAGGCAAACCCTGGCCTGGCCCGGCCGCAGCCCGCCCCCTGTGCAGGGACCCGCCGTCGCACCCACTACCCGGTGCCTGCTGCTGCTGCTAGGGCTCGCGGGGCAATCAAACAGCGCCTGAAACCACGTCGGGGCTGCTTCGAAGTGATTAAAACCTCAGGCAGGGTTATGTAGGACGGTGCCAGTCACAAGGCTGGGTTGCGCCCCCCCGGCACTAGGCAGCGAGCAAATAATGGGTAGCCCGACTAGTACAGCTGAAACTGACATTCACCGAGATCTGGTTCAGGTGCCTGGGCAGAGAGCCCAGGCCTGAGCTGTTCCTGTTAACGGCAAGGTTTGACCCAGAGAAAGGTCGGAGCATAGTGTAGGGGACATCCGCCTGGGTAAGCTGCAAAAGGAAGGGTGTACATCAAGAGAGCTATCTCCTTGTGAAAGGGGTAGTGGAGACAAGGCATATGTAGTTTTTACTTCAGTATAGCTAATGGAGATCAATAGATACCTCCCCTCCCCCCCAGGATTTACCTGGACTAGCTACATTGAGGTAAAAACTACCTGTGCCATGTCTCTGCTAGGATTTTACATTAGGATAGCTGGTTGAGTTGGTTTTCAAAATGGAGATCATGTGATTCCTTTCTTCAACTTGAACTATCTCTTCCTTCCATATATTTAAACATGGTGGACCCGATTCATATCTCACACAAGTTTTACACTCTTGTAACAGTACTGACTTAAGCAGTGTTACTCCTGATTTGTTTCTGTGTGAGAGGAAAATCAGGCCCAGGCACTTTTTCCCAATGTCCTATACGCTCCCCTAAAAGAATACTTGTATATGGTGTTTTTGAATTCTGTTGGAGATGCGGCCAATCATCTTCTTCAGAGCCCATGTGAGAGGAAAAATCTTGGAAATCCTGCAATGCAAGGTCCTAGGTACAAAGTCCAGCAGTCTGCCACACTGTTAAAATGATGGCTTTGTATTCAGAAATACCTTTCTAATTCTCTTGTTGAAAAACCTTATCTAATTCTCTATCCACTTTGACATAAATGTGAGTTCTCAGTAGGGTTCAGTGTGTAGCTAGGCTTTAATATATTTTATTATAAGTATTTTTACTTCCTTTGTACTGAATAAAAGAAATAGGGTCTCCTTGGGTGGCTTTGAATTTCCATTTATGTTCTTTTCAACAAGAGCAAGGCTCTGCAACTGAAGATATAAACATTTGGGATATCTGACAAGTTATTTTTTTCTCTATTTAAAGTAGGAATGACTTGAGAATAACTGTCTGTAGTATTGGAATCCCTCTTCTTTCAGCCTAATTAGTGATATCTTAGAAGCATGTATATAGAACTCAGTTTCCCAATCAGCAGTCAAAAGTCAAGATGGATATAGGGTTAAGTTAATGTGTTCTTTTGTAGCAGTTAAACATGGATTAATTATAAGGCCATGCCAGAAATACAGACTTCATTAGGTTGTCCCCTAGTGTATCTAGAGGTACAGCCTCTGAAAACACCAAAAAACCCTAAATTGAGATGCAATAAGATTTTACCTAATTTTAATTATCTTAATTGTATCTGTAAAATGGTAAATTAAATGCAGTGTTTATCCCCTTTAAGCCATATAACTGGTCTTAGCCCTTGAAAGCCATTTTGTGGATCTTACTAAGGAAAGTATTAGGACGGGGTAGGCAACCTATGGCACGTGTGCCAAAGGCGGCACGTGAGCTGATTTTCAGTGGCACTCACTGCCTGGGTCCTGGCTCCCGGTCCGGGGGGGGCTCTGCATTTTAATTTAATTTTAAATGAAGCTTCTTAAACATTTTTAAAACCTTACTTACTTTACATACAACAATAGTTTAGTTATATATTATAGACTTACAGAAAGAGACCTTCTTCTAAAAACATTAAAATGTATTACTGGCACGCGAAACCTTAAATTAGAGTGAATAAATGAAGACTCGGCACACCGCTTCTGAAAGGTTGCTGATCCCTGTATTAGGAATAGAAGTGAGGAGCATTAAAAATAAACAAATGTAACATTTCTTCTTTTATTTGCTCCTCTTTCTTTACCTTCCCTCTTGCTGTCAACATTACCTTATCCCAGAAATAAAATGAAAAATCCACTGGAAACTTCCCTAATGAACCTGAAGTAGGAGACTACATTGCATTTAAATACAACTAAAGTAAATCCCAGTTGAAAATAAATACAGTTGTAATTAAGCATTACTTCATTTACAGGGAAATTAACTCAATTTTAAACACTTTTCTATAATTTTATGTACATCTATCCAACCTTACTACATAATACTTGCGGCATGCAGGATGTCAGACTAGGTGATCATAATGGTCATTTGTTTGTTTAAAATACTGGAAATCTATGAATAACTTTTTATAACAACTTTTATACAAACTATCTCAACTACTTTATAAAGTTAAATAACATGGCTTAGAATTAAATAGCAGAGGGGGAGACAGAAATTAGGAGAGGTTGGTAAAGGAGCAAAGGCATGTTTTTACTCAAGATTTTAAATGAAAGGGAGGATCAATGAGATAGAGAGATGTAGAAGGCTGTGGGAATTGGCTGCAGCTGCAAAGGAGGCAGCCCCTTCGCCAACAGTGATCAGACTATGTGAAGGGATTGAGAGGAGCCTAGTGTAATCTATATAGAGAGGGAATGGAGCAAGTTCATGGAGCATTTTAAAATCAGAAAAGGGAATTTTGAACTGGATCCTGAAATGAATGGGCAGCCAGTGTAGTTGTTTGAATAAGGGGTAGTGAATTTGCACTTCTCTGTACATGTGAGAAGGAGGTCAGTAGCCTTCCATGGATTGATTCTCCATTGCTTAATAGTCTTTCAGTCAAAATTGGATGTCTTTCTAGGTCAACTAAATCAATGGAATTGGTGCAGGAAGCATTTGGTGAAATTCTATGGCTTATGTTATGCAAGAATTCAGACTAGAGGATCACAATGGGCCTTCTTGGGCTTAAAATCTGTTAATTTCTTCTGTGCAAGCAAGAACCTGAAGAAGTACGGTTTGGAGAAGCTATAGAGAATGGGCTTTGGGACTCTGTTAGCTGCTTCAGATCTAAAATATAATTACAGTGATGGCTTTCTGCCTTATAAAATAGCTTTATCGTTTTTCAACCACAGACTCTTTATTCTTTATATATTTCCCATCTTTTCAATGGAGCAGAAAAATTAGATGAACCAAATATTTTCATTACTGAAAAATAATTTTGATGCATATATGGGCTGTTTGCTTTCTCAAACTTTTGTAAGTGCATATGTTTTACTGTTTTTTTTTTCATGCCCCCTCACTTGCAGATGGCTATGCTCCATTTCTTTCTTTGACAACTCGAGACTCTGCATTTACTATTCCAAATGCTGAGATTGATGTTCCAGGACCAGGACACTATGATATTTCCAAAGTACAGGTAAAATTATAGAAGTTGTATTAAACAAGAGAGAGGAAATTTGCAACCTGACTTTCAAAACAGTAATAACAAGTGATGTTCATAACAAATTTCAGTTGAACAAGTCAATAAACACCCTCCTCCTAAAATTAAATTGGCCAGGAGTGAAAGAGACAGCATGGTGGGAAGTGATCATTTGTACAAGAACTTTTATTTATATACAATCCTTTCCTCCTCTTGTTCTGCCTCCTCATGCATCCCCCCCTTCTCCCCACCTGCTCTACTTCTTTCCCCAATGGAAAACTGACAAAAGAGTCCTTGATGCCCCCAAACAATGATGTTGCTGGATGCTTGGTGACAGTTAAAATTCAGTTTTTTTCTGAGTGCTTTTAAGTAGCTGTCCAACTCACTAGACGTTCTGTTGTTTTCATGCAGTTCACTTCCAGTAGTAGTGGGTACTTTGTGTATGGTGTAGGTCAAGATTTCTTGATGCCTCAATGTATTAACAGATAATATCATTTTAAAAGAGCGAAGACCGATGAAGTTTGAGTAATGAATGCTATATTGATTTTGATAAATGAAATTATGTAGTAATGGTTCCAGTAAGAATAAAGGAAATTCAGGTTAATGCTGGATGAATTATTTGAGAGCAAAGGAACCTTCTCAAGCTTGCTTGATAGGTTTCTGTATACTCTATTACAGTGGTGCGCAAACTTTTCCAGTCATGCCCCACTTACCCTTCATGGAATTTGTTGCCCCCTCCCTCTATTACTTGTAATCTGAAACTGTTTTGGATTTTTTGCCAGGGCTCTATCCTGTAGCGGGACTGGGATCCCTCTGCCATAATAGCGGGAGCGGGATAAAAATTCAACAATGTGGGAGTGGATATTGCAGGGTGGGATGGGAGCAGAATTAAAAAAATAGTCCTCCTGCACTGCAAACAACATGAATGCCCCGGATAGCAGCCACCGCTTTCTGGCTGCCCAGCTCTGAAGTTAGCGCTGCCACCAGCAGCAGTCCAGAAGTAAGGCCACCCTTACTTCTGTGCCGCTGCTGGTGGCAGTGCCACCTTCCACAGGTGCTGGCTTCCTCCGGACCCCGGGATGTGCAAATCCCCGCTCCACCCCAGGCCCTGCCCCCAACCGACTCCTTCCCCCAAGCCCTCACCCCTGCCCCACCTCTTCCTGCCCCTGCTCGGCTGCAGGCCCCGCTGATCGTAGCGGGCGGGAGGCACTGGGAGGGAGGGGGAGGAATTGATTGCTGGGGCCACTGGCAGACGGAGGTGCTGCGGGAGGTGGGAGGGAGCTGGCTGCCAGTGGGTGCTGAGCACCCACTATTTTTTTTCCATGGGTGCTCCAGCCCTGGAGCACACACAGAGTCGGCACCTATGCCACCTTTAGAGCTGGGCACCTGGAGAGCAGCAGCTGCTGGCCGGGGCATTCATGTTGTTTGTGGTGTGGGAGGACTGTTTTTTTTTAATCCCATTCCCGTCCCACCTTGCAATACCCACTCTATTTTTATCCCCCTTCCTCTATTATGGCAGTGGGTCTTGCAGGACCTATGGGATCCTGCAGGATCCCAGTTTCTTGGTGCCCCTCAGAGAACCTCTTGCACCACCGCCCTAAGGGGGAACCCCCATCTGCGCACCACTGCTCTATTGTATGTGTGCTTTTAGGATTTCAATAATAACATTAGCATTAAAGAGAAGCTGGAATTTTATTTAATTCCTTCATTCTCCATTTATCTGAAAACATTGTTTACTTGTTAGTTAAATTTAAATCTAATAAATATATCTATCTGAAATCACATGTAAGGCTATAGAAATTAAATGTTTTAATGATTATATAGATTGTATCTGGCTGCTTTGAGGATGTTGTAAGGGTGGAAAGGGTACCAGAAGCCTCCCTTCACCCCCATATCCATGCACAGTGATTGGCCACAATTGCAGTCCCTGAGCTCTTTTGAGTACAGAGATTTGATTCCTCCTAGCATTCTCCTGCATGTTCAAGACACTCAGAAGTGGATGGAGTGATGGTGGGGCTCCTGGTCGCCCTTCCTGTATCTGCAGCCAAAGCTGGCCAGATGTGTGGGGAGAGTATCCTGCTCCTCTGTATGCCAGAAGCTGAGGAAGGGTTCTGCTTTTCTGGGGCAGTACTGCCCATTACTACCTGCAAAGTGGGCCAGTGCCTATAACACACAGCTGAAGTTGTTTTAACTGTGTATTAGAATTAAGTCTGCAAGTCAACAATCTCCATGTAAATGCATATTTTAAATTTAATTAATATGAAGTATTAAACACTTGGGTTTTACAGTTCACTTTTGGAATTAAAAGAAAACATGACTTTCATGCTATCTGTTAGCAATTATGAAATAAGTAAAAACAATGCAGTTAGTGTAAGCATTAAACAATTTCTAAAGTGAGCGGCTATTTTACAGTGGAAAAATTCATTATTATGGATATGTCATTGTAATGTAATATACTTGTTTTTTGATCTTCTCCATTGCAGACTCCTTTAAGACTTTCTGACTACAGTTTGCACCCTCCAGTGGGAAAAGGCAGTAATACAATCAATTTCATACTAACACGCTATAACAGCAATCATAGTTAAAAGTATCAGAAGGTTTCTTCAGTGCTCTTCCTCACGTTTTGTCTTCCTGCTGAATCTTACTTCTGTTTTAATTTGTAGTGTGAAAAATTAAATAATCCCTCAAAGTAGCATTTTTTATATACTAATCTTTACTTTGTTTGCAGACAAAGTAATTGTAAATTAGCTGTGTAGAGAAAAGGTACTTAGGGCTTTGGCAGCACTTAGGCCTTGTCTACACTATGGGGGGAGATGGATCTAAGTTACACAACTTCAGCTACGTGAATAACATAGCTGAAGTCGATGTACTTAGATCTACTTACCCACGGGGTCCACACTATGCCATGTTGACTGGAGACGCCCTCCCATCGACTCCCCTTGCGCTTCTCGTTCAGGTGGAGGACAGGAGTTGACTGGAGAGCGATTGGCGGTCGATTTAGCGGTTCTAGACCGCCGATGTATCTATTGCTGTGCGTCGAACCCCCGGTAAGTGTAGACAAGCCCTTAGAGTTGATTATCAGTCATTCAATGTGGAAGTTGTAGACAGTCATTTTCTTTTATGGTAGGTTAGCGGTGGGGGGAAATACTATAAACAATGCACAAGTAAACCCGTTTTAGAAAGACATTTTATTGCTTTCTTCCTGGATACGTCATAATATATTATGTTACTTTGTTTAGTTAATGTCATACTAATACTGCATTCTATGAAATCTGACATAATGCAGCATACATGATGGAATGTGATATGACGTAAAACAACACAAGTGAAATGAAGTAAACCAAGCAATTTCTGACATTTTATATTTCTGTAAAATTTGCATTTGTAGAGTAATTATAAAAATGCATTTCTGTAACTTCTGGTTTACTAATTGGCTATGGATAAGTTGTGCTGTTATTGTCAATGATTGTCAGATACAGTAGCAGCACTAATGCTGAAATAACGTATTTGGTGCTCTTTTGAGGTTCTGTTCCCACAATATGTCTTAGTTCCCTTTAAATTGAGACATCAGGAATACCTCATTTCTGTTTCTTCTACTGTGTTCTGAAGAAAAAGGCAAAACATATTCATATTATGAGCCAGTCCTAACCCCTACAATAGCTGCATGAGTTGTAATTCTGTAAGTACTGTCTCAAGGTGTTGGGCATCAGTAGCTCCTCCCTCCCCTTTGGACTTCCTCCTCACACCCCTTCACTTTCTTGAAGGCCTATCAAAGGCCCCAGCCCCCACCAAGGGACAGTGACAGCCACTTATTAGAAACCAAAGGTCACATTGTTGGTGGTTATAAAGCTGTCATCGTCTGGATTCTTATAATGGAACTTATTTACCACTGGTGTTGCTGCTACTTAATCATTGATAAAAAGAACACAACCTATTGATTCTGGACCCAGTGTATTGAAAATGCAGAAGCTTTTGTATGTACAATTCAACTCAAATTTGTTTAAACCTATTGATATTTATATAGAAGGAGCCAGTGCTCTAACTTTTGGTGGCACATCATTAGATTGTAAGTTCTCTGGGGCAGAGACCATCTCTTTGTTCTGTTTGTACAGTACCTACCATGTTGGGCTCCTGGTCCATGTTTGGGGCTCTCTTAGGTGCTACTGCCATATGAACAAATAAATGATTATAAAATTGATATAGTGTTTTTCCTTTACTAGAAAAAGAAGAAATAACAACTAATATCTTACTGCAATAGAAATGACAGGGATACTTGTAATTCACTGAGGAGTATTGCTGTAAGAAATTTTAAAATAGCATTTCATTAGAGAATGCAGAGTGAAACAAACATTTTCAGCCTCTTTATCTAAATAGTTGCATTTCCTATTTTAAGTCAAGTAAAACAATACTGAGAAAAGAAAATTTATCTGCATCTAGAGTATTTTAATATAAATTAGTGCAGACATTGTCAGCTCTTCGGTTTAAAGGACTGGCTGTCAACTGTTTTTTATTTTGTGAAGTTCTTGTCAAGTTCATAATTAATTTTACTTTACAATTTCATAGACTATTCATTTTTTCATATTTTTAGAATAATATAAAAGGTGGTAAGAGTCCACAGAACAAAGAAAAACGTTTCAAAGAGATCAGTACAGACACTCCAGGACCTGGAAGCTATAACCAACCTCCTGCTGTGGGGTTAGAGATTAATAACAGGAAGCAGAAAGAGCCTAAAGAACATAGTCAACTGGTATGTTAATAAAAAAGGATGATGCCATATTAATTCTTTTTCTCAAAATTTGATATTGATCACAAATGTTAACACAAAATGTATGAAAACACCAGTAAACATATTACTGAACTTAATCTTTTCAAAACCAGCCTGAAGTGGTACAATTGCATACCTACAGTGGTGCTCACAATTATCACAAGACAGATCGGGTGATGGGAGGAAGTTGAATTAATGTGGGGAAAATAAATGAAAGCAAGCAATAACCTATAGAACTACTATGAAACCATTTCAAATAAGAATAAATCTTTTAAAAGACTAATCTTCCAGTATACACTAAAAGTACGATCTTCTCTCCGCCTGATTCAGAGGAGGGATGTGCATCAACTTCTCCTACCTCCCAGAGGAGTGCCTCAATCACCACACTATAGAGTAATTCTCACTTGTTCTCTTTGGTCCAAGAGATATTTACATATTTACAGGGCTGCCCAGAGGATTCAGGGGGCCTGGGGCAAAGCAATTTTGGGGGCCCCTTCCATAAGAAAAAGTTTCAATACTATAGAATACTATATTCTCATGGGGGCCCCTGTGGGGCCCGGGGCCTGGGGCAAATTGCCCCACTTACCCCCCCTCCCCCCTCCGGGCGGCCCTGCATATTTATGCAAAGTGGAATGGTGTCAACAGATGAGGTTGAGGAAAATAGCATGTAGCCTGGTGGTTAGGGCACTCACTTGGCAGGGGAGAGAACCAAGTTCAAGGCCCTTCTCTGAGGAATACTTAAGTGTCTATACGAAGTAAAAAGCTTCAACAGGAGAGATCAAGAGCAACACAACCCAGAAAAATCTATAGCTTGGTGGTTCTGATGCTCACCTGGGAGTGGGGAGGTAAGACTTCAAAGCTAGCTCAGGTATGCCTACCTGTGCTGCAGTTACACCTCCCGACTGCTGTTAGACATACCCTTAGGGAGCAGTCAGAAGGTTACTTGGTGCTTCCCCATTGGCTGCAGTGCATGTGATTACCTGTACTGGCCCTTTCCCTGGCAGAGCAGTAGAATTTCATTGGTTTGTGTTTGAGTAGCGTGCAGACTCAAAAATCCATGTTCAGCACAGATTTGGAGGTCTGACATTAACTGAAATAGGGGATAGCAACATTTTAATTTATATAGGTTAAATTTATGGTTACCAGAAAGTTTTTTAAGAGCGTCTGTAGTTAACTTCAAATAGAGTAGAACTCCTTAGATGTGTTTTGCATCATTGCTTTATTGTATCATTCTTTATGTCCCAGCTTTCCTCATGTGACTTTTATTTGTAATTTATCAGCATGGCAGTTGAATTACCTTTAGGTCATAAATGACAAAAGTTTATTGCTCATTTGGCAGCAATGGATCACTGAAAGAAATGAGATTATAGTCAATTATATAGGAAGGTACTAATGTAATCATAAAGATTACAGTGTAAATTTTATTTTACCAAACTATTAGTAGAATTTATACCTACACAAATAAACAGATCAGAAATTTGAAGTTAGCTGAAAAGGGATAATATCAAATTGGGGAAGTCTACACAGAAAAATAAAGTAAAATTTTCACTCTGCCAATAAGACTATATGAACGCAAAGTGCTGTATTGTTGTTATCCTTCTACATATGTGACATTATAAGGTTCAGTGGTTACTTAATGATTCACTAGTACACTGACATCTATTAAAAGTACATGTGCTTCAAAACATAAAAATGAAAAGTTAATATTCTAGACCACCTTTTTAATAAGTGTAGGGCTGTATCTTTTTCTTTGGGTGCATTCACCCTCAGTTTATGCAACATGGATGGAATGTGTTTGTGATCTAATTTAAAGCACAATCTAATTGTTTTTACAGAGGGCTGCTGGCAGTATAAAAGTCTACCGAAAAGTGGATGGTCCCTCTATCCCTTCTCCAGGCCAAGCATTTGGGTATGAAGAAGCTGAGGATGGCATTCTTATTAAACAATACCCACCTCAAAGAGATGTGACATTGGGCCCAGCATACTATCAACCAGTAATAGTAAGTAATTTTAGATCAATTTCATAAGACTGGCTACAGGATTACAAAATAGTTTAAGGTTTATCTTTAACTATAAAATGTTGTCATGACATGTTTTCTCTTAAGAGTGAAAGTTAATGGTATTGGTACCATTATATTTTGGGCTGGCTACAGAGCCAATTTCATTTTTGATTTATATGGGTGCAACTCCATTGAAAGAAGTTGAGTGGGACCTGCTTGACTATTGCTGAATTTGGCACAAAGAATAGAGAACAGTATAGATTTTAAAGGTCGATGCTACTACCTCTTCTAGTTTCACCTGGCTGGAAAGGGAACACGAAAGTAGCCACTAGTTTAGCAAGCAATGCTGTAAAGAGTACAAAGGCTGAATTAAGAAGGAATGTGCTTGTGGGCTGGACAAACCGTCCTCTTCTGGTCCCACCAGTTTCTGCAGAATTCAAGATTTCTTTTTTAAATAAATTCAGTTTCTAGCTCTTTTGGTGGCAAAGATATCTTTCTGAATACCAAGTTGAGGCAGTTGTCTTAAGGAGTCTACAGACAGACTGAAAATAGCTTTAAGGGATACAAACTGCCTCAGATAAAAGGCCCTACCAATTTCATGGTCCATTTTGGTCAATTTCATGGTCATGGGATTTTAAAAATTATAAATTTAATGATTTCAGCTATTTAAATCTGAAATTTCACGGTGTTGTAATTGTAGGGGTCCTGACCCAAAAAGGAGTTGGTGGGTGGGGTTGCAAGTTAAATGTAGGCAGAGTTGTGGTACTGCTACCCTTACTTCTGCACTGGTGGTGGTGGTAGTGCTGCCTTCAGAGCTGGACAGCTGGAGAGTGATGGCTACTGGCTGAGAGCCCAGCTCTGAAGGCAGAGCCACCACCAGCACAGAAGTAAGCATGGTGCAGAAGTAAGGATGGCATGGTAAGGTATTGCCACCCTTACTTCCGTGCTGCTGCTGGTGGGGCGCTGCCTTCAACTGCCCAGCCAAGAGCACAGAAGTAAGGGTGGCAATACTACAACCCTCCTAAAATAACCTTGCAACCCCCCCCCCCCGCTCTCCATGCAACTCCCTTTTGGGTTAGGACCCCCAATTTGAGAAACGCTGGTCTCCCCCCATGAAATCTGTATAGTATAGGGTAAAAGCAAACAAAAGACCAGATTTCACGGGGGAGATCAGATTTCACGGTCTGTGATGCGTTTTTCATGGTTGTGAATTTGGTAGGGCACTACTTATATATCTAAACAGGCTGTTTATGCTGAAGCAAGTTAGATGTTTTGACAAACTATTTTGATGTTGATAATTTTAGCAAAAATATTCATCTCCTCTGGGATTGCAGCCAGAGCTAGAGTAGAATACTACCATTCTTCTCCTTCACTCCAGTCTCTTCCCTGAACGAGTGGTAGATGAAATAAAACTAATAGCAAGTAAACAATAGTCAAACTCTTATCCATAGTTTGTTTTGTAGTCTTCTGTATTTTTGTCACGTTGCTTTGCATGGTGCATAGAGTAATTAATAATCTCATTATTTGCCAGTTATCACAAAGAATGACGTGGGCTGCTGGGGCAACTGAAAGCAGTTTTGTACTCTCAATGCATCTCCTGCTACTGCCAGGGCAGTGTGGAGGAAAAGGAGGAGGTGGCCACACTTGAATGTAGATAGATGAGGAAGAGGGGAGAGTGGGAGAGAGACAGAGCAAGCTGGGGTGGGGAAGACAGGAACAGGAGAAGAGGGAGATAGGGACATAAGGGCACAGGCTGGAGTAGGACATTCTAAAGCAGGGGTGGCAAACCTGAGCCTGGGAAGGATCCAGAATTTACCAATGTTCATTGCCAAAGAGCCACAGTAATATGTCAGCAGCCCCTCATTAGCTCCCCCCCCCGCTCTCAGTGCCTCCCACCCACCGGTGGCCCCACTAATCAGCGCCCCCGCGCCTCCCGATCAGCTGTTTTGTGGCATGCAGGAGGATCTGGGGGGGAAGGGGGTAGGAGCAAAGGTATGGCAGGCTCAGGGGAAGGGGCGGGAAGGGGTGGAGTGGGGGCAGAGCCAGGGGTTGAGCAGTGAGCACCTCCCAGCACATTTGAAAGTTGGCTCCTGTAGCTCCAGCCCTGGAGTCGGTGCCTATAGAAGGAGCCGCATATTAACTTCTGAAGAGCCATATGTGGCTCCGGAGCCACAGGTTGGCTACCCCTGTTCTAAAGTATGGAGGCAGGATGGGGCAGGCTGGGAAGATGATGCAGAAGGGTCTATAACCATTAGAGCACAGTCCCATTCAGAACCTGGAATACTTGTGTAACATTTTCATCATCTTATTTTAAAGCAATATGATTTTGACTTATGTTTTGTAGTTTCTCTGCAAGGGCTTGATCTTGCAATGTGTTGAGCATTTGGCCCAAATCCAGCAAAGCACTTAAGTGAATGTGTTACTAGAAGTATATGAGTAGTCCCATTGACTTTAATGAAACTTCTAACGTACTTAAAGTTATGAATGTGCTTAACTCGGATGCTTTATCTGGGGCAGACTGCTTAGACCCTTGTATGATTGTATCTCAAAGTGGAAAGTTTATCCTGATGTTTAGAGATAGCAGTGCACATGCCTCTAATTTGAGGTTAATTCTTTTGTAAAGTGGTTTAATAATGAGTAACTCTGTCTGGAGAGACATCTGAGAGAAGTCTTGTTCACTTGTAATTCAACCCTGGTTGATTACAATTACTTATGTGCTGGAGATTGGGAAATGGCTGTAGAGAAACACAGCTACGGCTGTCTTCATAGAATCATAGAATATCAAGGTTGGAAGGGACCTCAGGAGGTCATCTAGTCCAACCCCCTGCTCAAAGCAGGACCAATCCCCAACTAAATCATCACAGCCAGGGCTTTGTCAAGCCTGACCTTAAAAACCTGTAAGGAAGGAGATTCCACCACCTCCCTAGGTAACCCATCCCAGTGCTTCACCACACGCCTAGTGAAAAAGTTTTTCCTAATATCCAACCTAAACCTCCCCCACTGCAACTTGAGACCATTACTCCTTGTTCTGTCATCTAGTACCACTGAGAACAGTCTAGATCTATCCTCTTTGGAACCCCCTTTCAGGTAGTTGAAAGCAGCTATCAAATCCCCCCTCATTCTTCTCTTCTGAAGACTAAACAATCCCACTTCCCTCAGCCTCTCCTCATAAGTCATGTGCTCCAGCCCCCTAATCATTTTTGTTACCCTTCGCTGGACTCTATCCAATTTTTCCACACCCTTCTTGTAGTGTGGGGCCCAAAACTGGACACACTACTCCAGATGAGGCCTCACCAATGTCGAATAGAGGGGAATGATCATGTCCCTCGATCTGCTGGCAATGCCCCTACTTATACAGCCTAAAATGCCGTTAGCCTTCTTGGCAACAAGGGCACACTGTTGACTCATATCTAGCTTCTCATCCACTGTAACCCCTAGGTCCTTTTCTGCAGAACTGCTGCCTAGCCATTCGGTCCCTAGTCTGTAGCAGTGCATGGGATTCTTCCGTCCTAAGTGCAGGACTCTGCACTTGTCCTTGTTGAACCTCATCAGATTTCTTTTGGCCCAATCCTCTAATTTATCTGTGTCCCTCTGTATCCTATCCCTACCCTCCAGCATATCTACCACTCCTCCCAGTTTAGTGTCATCTGCAAACTTGCTGAGGGTGCAGTCCACGCCATCCTCCAGATCATTAATGAAGATATTGAACAAAACTGGCCCCAGGACCGACTCTTGGTTGATACCGGCTGCCAACTAGACATAGGGCTCAATGGGTAGTGATCAATGGCTCCATGATCTAACCAGCTTTCTATCCACCTTATAGTCCATTCATCCAGCCCATACTTCTTGAACTTGCTGGCAAGAATACTGTGATGTTCCCCTGGAATCCTCTGTCAGGACTCCAGTTCTACTCCAGTCCCCGTGATAGACTGAGACTGATTTTTTACTTTTTTTAAAAGCTTTGTTAAAGTCAAGGAATAACATGTCCACTGCTTTCCCCACAGAGCCAGTTATCTCATCATAGAAGGCAATTAGGTTAGTCAGGCATGACTTGCCCTTGGTGAATCCATGCTGACTGTTTCTGATCACTTTCCTCTCCTCTAAGTGCTTCAGAATTAATTCCTTGAGAACCTGCTCCATGATTTTTCCAGGCACTGAGGTGAGGCTGACTAGCCTGTATTTCCCCGGATCCTCCATCTTCCCTTTTTTAAAGATGGGCACTACATTAGCCTTTTTCCAGTCATCTGGGACCTCCCCTGATCCCTATGAGTTTTCAAAGATAATGGCCAATGGCTCTGCAATCACATCAGCCAACTCCTTTAGCACCCTCGGATGCAGCGCATCCAGCCCCATGGACTTGTGCTCGTCCAGCTTTTCTAAATAGTCCCGAACCACTTCTTTCTCCACAGAGGGCTGGTCACCTCCTCCCCATGCTGTGCTGCCCAGTGCAGTAGTCTGGGAGCTGACCTTGTTCGTGAAGACAGAGGCAAAAAAGGCATTGAGTACATTAGCTTTTTCCACATCCTCTGTCACTAGGTTGCCTCTCTCATTCATTCAGTAAGGGGCCCACACTTTCCTTGACTTTCTTTTTGTTGCTAACAAAGCTGAAGAAATCCTTCTTGTTACTCTTAACATCCCTTGCTAGCTGCAACTCCAAGTGTGATTTGGCCTTCCTGATTTCACTCCTGCATGCCTGAGCAATATTTTTATACTCCTCCCTAGTCCAATCTTCCACTTCTTGTAAGCTTCTTTTTTTGTGTTTAAGATCAGCAAGGATTTCACTGTTAAGCCAAGCTGGTCCCCTGCCATATTTACTATTCTTTCTACACATTGGGATGGTTTGTTCCTGCAACCTCAATAAGGATTCTTTAAAATACAGCCAGCTCTCCTGGACTCCTTTGCCCCTCATGTTATTCTCCCAGGGGATCCTGCACATCAGTTCCCCGAAGGAGTCAAAGTCTGCTTTTCTGAAGTCCAGGATCCATATTCTGCTGCTCTCC